GCACCCGCCCCCTAAAGCAAAAAACCCCTCCAAAAAAAAAAAAAAAAGAGAGAGAGACCTGCTCGGATCTGTGTCACCCGGTTCTGTTTCAACTGCAAGCCTCCTGTGAGTGACTCCACGAAGATATTCTTGCCGCATCACGTGGAAAAGCAAGGAAATCAGTATTTCCCCCAGGAAGGGAGGGGGGCGACCTACCGGCGTCCAGGAGCAGCTTCACGATCTCGAAGTTGGAGTGGGACACGCTGTAATGCAGCGCCGTGTTGCCGTTGCCGTCTGCCATGTTGATGACGTAGCGGAGGACTTCGGGGGACACGGCCTCAAACGCCGCCAGGTAGTCCCCCACCAGGGCAGGCACGGCGGACTTCTGACTGGACACGCGGAACCACTCGTGCTGGAGGGTGTTCAGGCAGAATCTCTGCCAAAACAGCAGGCGGCCATTAGTCTATTTATAGACCCATCTGAGACCCAGCAGCCAGCCAAGGCACCAGGCCTTTTATAGCCAGAGTGCGCCCAGTTAGAATCCCCTGCTCTCCAAAACAGCTAAGGAAGCCCAGAGCCCCCACAGAAGCTTGGACAGCAAACTGGGGCATCCCTCCTGATTTTAAACCACATACATACATTTGGCCTCTTATTTAAGAGGCCAAATAGTCCTGTGTGGGAACATGAGTCTGGAGTCCGATCACTGAGGTCAAATTTGGGCTACTTAGGAGCTACTCAGCCCCAGGAAGTTCCTTATTCTGAGTCTCGATTTCCTCATCTGCCAAATGAGGACAATACTTTCCCTTCACAGAGTCTGTGATGCCTGGCTGTATTTATTATGGAGCTATTAATATTACATAATTATGTGGGCCTTGCAATGATTTTCATAGCAATAAGGAAGACATTAGCCTATGCTTAATTATGCCGCCTCACTCCTGTCCAGACCAACTGGGCTCCTTCAACTCTAACTCTCCACAGCACTAGGCAAGGAAAGCAAAAGCAAGTAGCCAACCCAGTTCCTAGCCAATCCCAAATATAAATGGTCAGAAGAGAAAGGGAATAAAAAGCACGTCTGGAAGAAATTACACCTCAGTAGGATCATCTGCCTCTGTTAGTTCTGCTCTGACTTCCTCAGACTACAGACACACCGACATAGCGCTTGCTTCAAGGATGAAGATGTTAAAATTGGACCCCAAGAAGTTTTTATTTATTTGGATTTCTGACAGGGTGTGTGCACTTGTCAGAGAAAAACAGAAAGCGATGGAGAGAGGGAAGGGAGAAATCCCTGGGGATGGCCACATCACAATCCTTTCTCTTCTATTTGTCTCCGGGATTTGGGGATGCATACATATGTGCCTGGTGTAATTTTCAAGCTGCCAGGCCAGGGACTCACAGTGTGGTCAGCCATATGGGAATCCAGTGCCTTAACCACCAAGTCGTCTGCTGGCCCTGGACTACATAAAGTTTAATGTAGACTAGGCACAGCAAGCTCTGGTTATGTTGAAGACCATAATACTCTTCTATGGGCCTTCCCATTCACGTGTGCTTTGTTTATTTGTTAAAAGTTTGAAAATATGCCAACTAAAGATGAAAAGCTTGTACCAAAAGGATAGGAACCCAGAAGTCCTCTTTTTGTGGAAAAGGTGGGTTGAAGGTTTTCTACCTCTTTGTATTTCTGCTATTGATTATTCAATTTTAACCCTTTTGGTCATATTTTGGGTCACTCCACAAGGGTCCTGGCCAGGTAAGAAACTGTGGTCAGTCATGTGGGGGATCAGCCTTCTATGCACAGGGTTTAACTGCTGTTCAATGGGCCAGTACTACCACTCACGTTTTGATTTTATACCTTTATAATCTTGTGAGCCTTATAAATCAGCTCTTTCACCAGCAGCTAACTTAGTTTATTCAGCATCAATCATTATAGCAAAAATAATTCCAACATGAAAGATTCAAACGCACATTACTATCCATACCAACACAAGAAGCTATATTTTCTCAAGTACTGAAGATAGAGTTACCCACCAGAGGATGGTCTGGCCTATGAGAGAAGCTACCTTCGATGCATAGGAATGACCTACTCGGCAACAGTGCCAGACTAAACATGCCCATAGAAATATTTATGTATACTAAGTTGTGCTAGACATGATCTCTAAGGCAGCCACAACCTCGTCGCTATTTGCTTTTGAATCTCTCAAACTGTGTGAGGATGACAAGTGCAGTTATTTTTACGTTTAAAAATAGTGGCTGCCCACATTCCACATGAGAACATAATATGCAGTTTCATGGCTGAAAGGAATGCTGACCTCGGCCCAGATAAGTTTCTTTTAAAACATAAGCGGACTTAAAAAAAAAAATCTGAGATGTTGTTCCCTGGATCATAAGGCTCTGTAAACAGAAGTAGAACACACAGAAAGACAGTGACTGACTGCAATTTTAGCCCTCCCTTCTCTCTGCAAGTATATGCCTTACAGATGCCTCCACCCCAAGAAAAGTACAGGGTGGAAAAAAGATATCTCAAGCTGGGCCTTGGGGAAACACAGCGGGATGGGGGGAGCCAGGCAACACTAGCTCTCTGTCCATTCAGGCTAGAAACAGCTGAGGACAGTGAGCATGTGAGGAGCAACAGCTCGGGGCAGGCCCAGACGGCAAGGACAAGACATCCATTTGGGCACTCTGTACAAACAGGGGACAGTGCCTGTATATCACACTCACCATATCTTTGCTGGTCAAAGCTTTGGGGTCATTTATATTATTTTTCAGTAAGTTGCATGCAGATAACATCTTTTCACTTAGTTCATACCTACAAGGGGGAAAAAGAGAGCTCATGATTGAACATGAAAGTAAAGTCATTTTTATCTCAAACCCTTTCACCCTTTAAAAGACAAGTGGCCCCAAGCCTGCTGAGGCAGGTCCTGGTGGTGCAAGGTGCTTGGCTGGAGGTAGCCTAGGTGCCCCCAGGCATCTGAGCTGACACCTCCAGCCAGAGTCAAGGCCTTTTCATGAAGATAGTGTTTGGCTTTACCAGTGTGACCTTTATGACATTCTAGAATAACAGTTGGCAGTTTGGGGCTGTTGTTAAAATATTTTTTTTTTTTTTTTTTTTTTGAGAGAGATTTTCGCTATAGGGCGCGTGCACTCGCCAGACAGACAGAGAGAGACATAGAGACAGAAAGCGAGAAATCACCCCCCAGGGGGGATGGTCACGCCGCAATCCCTTCTCCTCCATTCTCCTCTTGGGATCTTGGGCACGCACGCACACGCGCCCGGCGTGAGTTTTAAGCCACCGGGTCCAGTACACGAACCGCGGTCGACTACGTGGGAGTCCAGCGACATAGCCATTGCGCTAACTGCTGGTTCCCAAAATATTTATACTCTTAAAATTCTTAAAATATTTTTACTCTTAAGGAGTTGAAGAGCTCTGAATTCTCACATATCCATTTTGCTAACCAGTAAACCACACATCCGAACCCATATTTGGTGATTCAAGAAGTGTTTGTTTAGCCCATATGAAAAATTAAACATAAAAATCAGATGACTGGGACCAGCAAGTGGTGGTTACACATGCTGGACTTCCACATAGTCAACCACGGTTGAATCCTGATAACTTGAAACTCACAGGAGTACACGCGTGTGTGCCCACAATCCCAAGAGGCGAACGGAGAAGGGGTTGGGGTGTGGCCATTCCCCCGGGGATGTCCCTCTAGCGAACACACACTTTTGATAGTAAAAATATCTCAAAAAAAAAAAAAAAAAGTCAGATGATAGGGCCACAGGTGGCATTGTGGTTAAGGTGCTGAACTCCCATATGGCTGACCACAGTTTGAGCCCTGGACCTGGTGGCTTGGAAATCATGTTGGGTGTATGTGGATGCATGCTAAAAATCCTGAGAGGAGAATGGATTGCAGCATGGCCATTTCTCTAGGAGGTGATTTCTCACTTTCTCTCTTTCTGGAAACTGCATGTACCCTGTGGTACATAAATTACATATCAATAAAGCTGTTAAAAAAAATAACAGATGAAAAGATATTGAGCCATTTGAAAACACTTGGGAATATAAACTAAAAACACTTACCTGTGCTAATGCAGTTAAGCTTTCGTTTGCCAAATAGAGTTAAGTTTTCTGAAGTCTCCATCTTTTTTTATTCTTGCATATTTTATGAGTATCTAATCCTGATTTGCTAGTCTTTCACTGAATCCTTATTTGCTAAATAGTCTTCAAAATTTACTATATTTATAGGTACAAGTTTCAGCCAAACAGAGTATTTGCTATTTTATTTCAACTGCTATTTATGATTTCTCAAATCGAATTTTATAGTGTTTTTGGTCACCCAGTGACCAAAAATATGTAGACGTGTGATGGATCTATGTCATGTTTACATTAAACGTGGTGTTTGGTAGAGGCCCAGCAACTGTTCTCACGTACCCAGTGATCCCACAACAACAGTACTGAGCCCTGCTCAAGATAAGTGGCTACCGGTAAAACCTGAACTCTCTAAGGAAGTGTGCTCGTCACCTCAACATTCAAATACATCTTTAAATATAAGGAGAGGTGTTCAAACAAACTTGAGTGGTCTTAGACTTTCATGGATGGTGGTTTCACTGTGAAATTCAGTAACTGTTTCAGAAAACATAGGTAGCTAGATATCAAGCCATTCTCTTTGCTATAGTAAGAGACCTAGGAGACACCATACTCTGCACTCATGGTTATTACTGACTTGAGAAGACATCAAGATGTGTGTATCTCTGAGGAACAGGAAAGACCAAACAGGTAAAAATGTGACATTTCTGACTGGTCAGCTCTATTGCCCAAGTATATTAAATGTGGGAGGGGTCAGGGAGGACAGGGTAGGGTACCACACCTCTCTCTGATTTCCACCTTCTCAGGTTCACATTCTTGAACCTGCATTTCATCTTCCACCCTGATGGACTTGAAACCTTCAATATTAACTGCATGGTGCCCTTGCGCCATTCCCCGAATATCTTCGTCCTCCTCTTCTTCCTCCTCTTCCTCAGGAGGATACTCACTGACATCACACTCGTCATCTGACTCGGAAGAAGAGCTTTCATCTGAGCTGGAATCATCACTTGAGGTTGTTTCATACCTAGGTGGCAATCGGGATTTCAGGAGATGCAAGGTATGCCCAGAAAGACCCAGTGACAGAAATTTCTATGAAGGGAAAGCTGCTAGCTGCCTCCATAATTCACCAGTGGTTTTAGACCCTGCATTTAGAAGTTCAAAGTAATGTCTATTTAAATGCCTAGTGGTTGTGAATGGGTTCAGACTTCAAAGGGACAACCTAGGTTGCCAATTGGTATAGTATTCCACCTGTTAAAAAAATTATAGCACTCATGGCTTAGCATAAATCAAGAGGAAACTTGCTTTATGGAAACCAGATCTACGATTGTATGTTTTTCCTTTCCTTCCCCACCCCTATTCTTTCTATTTTTCCCTATTAATTCTCCCAGTGTCAAGATGAACAGACTACATGAACAACCAGTAATTCCTCTGGTGCACACCCTCCAAAATCTCCTGAGCCATATTGCCCAATAAAACCTTTTTGTTTTTTTTTTTAAGAATTATTTATTTCATTTCATGTGTTATTATTTTTTATTTTGACCAGAGAGAGAGAGAGAGAAAGGGAAAGTGAGAAAGTAAGCTGCCAGGTCCAGGACTTGATCTGTGGTCAGCCATGTGGGAATCTGGTGCCTTAACCACCACACCATTTGCCAGCCCCTCGCCCAATAAAACTTTTCAGGATATGGAAAACAGACACCACCATGTTAGGCTTTGGTGGTATACTTTGCTATAAATATTACCTTAACTAAGTTTGTGCTATTGCTTTCTTATCCAAGTCATGACTAATTAATCAATTGCCTGGATTCAACTGTATGACAAACTGGCTTAACTATTTTTTTTTTTGGAGAGATTTTCACTGTAGGGCGCGTGCGCTCGCCAGACAGACAGAGAGAGACATAGAGACAGAAAGCGAGAAATCACCCCCCAGGGGGGATGGTCACGCCGCAATCCCTTCTCCTCCATTCTCCTCTCGGGATCTTGGGCACGCACGCACACGCGCCCGGCGTGAGTTTTAAGCCACCGGGTCCGGGACGCGAACCGCGGTCGACTACGTGGGAGTCCAGCGACATAGCCATTACGCTAACTGCTGGTTCCCAAACTGGCTTAACTATTTACCTGGGCCATTGGAAAAGAAGAAATCAATGGCTGATCAACGTTCTATTTACGAAGCAAAGGACTGATGGTGTGTCTAGGTTGCTCTCCAGGTGAAAGACCCTACCATTGTGTTTGTGAACATGGAAAGCCAAGTACAACTTTCCAGTGTGAAGGCATACATGGCTATCTTTGGCCCATGGACTGATGCTCTCAGTCTTTCTGCTGGTTTCTGAGTTCTAATCAGGTAAGTACCAGTTGTCCACTACACGGCAGCAACCCTGCTGCCTGATGCTTTTGCTGGAAACTATTTTGTTGGGTAAGAAGAGAGGAGGTGTCAATTGCTCAGCTTCGTCAGATATCCATGAGTGGTGCCATATGCTTAAAGATAGCAAGAAGAGGAGAGAAGCAACCCAAATGCACCTTTCTGAGCAGGGAATCTTCCATCACCAAGATGTGGCAGTATCCCAGACTAGGCACCTTGAAATGATACTGGAACAAGCAGGAGGCAGGGGAGAGAGATAGGCATGGTTAAACCAGAGTACCACCGTCTTTCCTTACCCTCCATTAATGCCAACAAACTGAAGATTCTTCTTTGTGCCGTTTGCATCTTTGTTACCATCCTTCTTCTTCATGATGGACTTCAGCGTACTTTCATTACCTGCACACATTGTGAAAGTGAATCAAGGGTACAAAATTAACATAACTCATAATTGCGTACGTTAAATAAGAAGGTGCTCTGTTTTCTGTACAATCTTTTTGTTTTTTAAAAAAAGAATTATTTAATTTATTCATTCACTTTTTATTTTTACCAGTGACAGAGACATACAGAGACAGAGAGAAAGGGCAAG